GGTATAATATTGGAGGTTGCATGTTATATTCTTAATTAGTTTTGGCGTTAGAATTGTAGTCTAATTCAGTTCTACATTTATTGAGTGTTGGACCTTAAATCTTATCATAGACAAACCTTGCACTCAGTCATTGGGCTCCAGCTTGGTCCATCGGGCTTGAACTCGATCCATCTTGAACTCGGGCTTGAAGAGACTCTTTGAGCCCGTAAAATCGGGCATACCTGATTTCGACCGTATACAGATAGTCCTCGCGTTTCTTAGAGTAAGATGATAAGAAACGATTTGATCCTAAATCCTCCGATGCCTCGATCATGATATCAAATTACGTCAGCAACTAAAGTGATTGAAAGGACGCGTCTGCATAGTTCCCTAGGCCATTAATTGAAGGTGCTGATGGTCGGCCATTGGCTTCCCCAAATGGTTAAAGCGGCCGCTACAAATAGGTGAATTTCACAACTTTTAGAATTTTTACTTCTCAAATCTTTCTCAAAACCTCACTAGCTTCTTTATCTTCCCTGAGTTCATCCTTTCTTCAACTTGTTCTTGCTACAACATCAACTTCTTCTCTTCTTTTGAATTTCTCAACAGTAATGGCCAAAACATCTAAAACCGTTCCTCAGAAAGAAAAAGCCTCCTCATCATCACGTCCGGCCGGTGGTAGAACGACGGTGCCACCTTGTATCGAGGAGTGCATTCTCGGGCCATGCGAATTATCTTCCGATTTCAAGATCGATAAGCCTGCGTCGGTGTTACAACCCATATTCACGTATGTTAGTTTATGCCGTAAGTTAGTCAATCTAAATCCAAGAAAAGATTATCTTTGATATGATAAGAAGTTAATCCTATTGGTCTTAAATGATACAAAGGTGTATAAGGGTGGTTAACAAGTATTAGAAGTTAAAGGAATCAAGGATGTTGTCAGCCGTATTTTCAAGTAAACATAGAGATGCTTAATACACTTAACAGGTCGTGTTTTAAGGTATTTGAATCATATAATATTCGTATCATAAGTCTTGAGGTCAAACGAGTTATGAAACAAAAGTCGACAAAAGTTGTCGCAACTTATGTTCATAATTTTACTTAAACTTTAGGTCAAATGTTACTAAACTTTTCTCCTAATTTACTTTGAATTGTGGGGTGATATACCTACCAAATTGAAGATCTATGAGTCTAGTTTCCAACGCATTTAACCGTTCGTCGATACGATATCAAAGTAGAGAGATATTTGTATTTTTGCGAGACTGCACCAAACACCTCTCTATGGGTCCCACATAGTCAGTTAAAGAGATATGGATATATATAATATGCTTAGAACCCATTTTAAGTCATTCATTTTCAGTATATTCAGATCTTAGAACCCTAGAAACACCCTCTCAAAGTTCTCCATGATTCAAGACCCAAACAAAGGGCAAACAACACAAATCAAGTGTCGGGAATCCCGTAGCGCTAGTAAGTTTCTTATTCTTCTTGTTGTTGCTCATTTTGTGTTGTTACAGCTCGCATGAGAGGTTGTTTTAAGGGGTTTATGATCTGTAAATACTCCCTCAAGTTTTTAATATCAACCCTAGGTGATTTCAAGCCTTCTAAAGTGATTCTAGTACTGAAAAACCCTAATTGATTGCTAGTTCCGCTTCCTTGTTGTTGTGGCAGCATTGGAGGGATATTTCGTGGATAAATAATGTCAAATTGGAGTTGTTCCTTTTTTCTAAAGGTAAGGAACCTCTTACTCCATATGTATTTAAGATTATCCAAGTTGTGGCTAAGTCATTGAAGCTAGAACTTGTGAAATATCTATATCGAAAGATTTGGTAGTAATGTTGTCGGTTGGTGGACTGTTTTGGGAGGCTCAATATGATTAATATTGATGTTGTTTGGGCTGTTTGGTGCTTTGTTTTCACTTGTGGTAAGTCATATAAATAGGGGATATGCTGTCCGTTTCATCNAGCAGTACTTACATTGTTTTCCCTCTTATGGAACGATTGATGTTAATGTTGCTTCTCTTATTCTTATGTTATCAATGTTGTTGGTACTTCCTGATTCTTATAAGGTTCATAGTGAAGAGTTAGTCCTAATAACGTGTACAGAAGATACTGACCTTACGTTACTTTAAAAGGTTTAGAACATGATTCTATGAGTCGAGCATGCATTAAATATATGTATCTATTTTACTCTACCGAGCCGCGGTATAGTTGGCCGGGTACGACACCTATTGTGCAATCACTAATTAGTTGGGTTTTACCGAGCTCCACATGGCCGGGTACGATTCTACCGAGCCTTATGATGGCCGGGTACGTTTTTACCGAGTCCTCTTTGAGGCCGGGTACAATATGATGATGATGATGATGCCCATAGAGGTGTGTGTTTTAAAAGTTTATGTGTATATATGTCTGTATCATGCATTTCATGTCAGTAGCCCTCAGAGGTACCCAAATGTTACAGACTGTATATTCTCTATCCTTATTCACATTACTGTTCATACTTATGCTTTCCTGCCTTGCATACTCAGTACTTTATTCGTACCGACGTTCATTTTATTTGTGGATGCTACATGTCGTGCTGTAGGTCCTGATAGACCCCAATCATAGTAGGCTTCCTAGATCAGAAGTTATTGGTGAGATCCCTTCTCCGGACTTGCCGTGGTCTTGGTATGCATTTTTGTTATAGACATTATGGGTATGTCAGGGCCCTATTCCGGCTATGTTGCAGCACTTATGTTCCTTTAGAGGCTCATAGAAATGTGTCGACTCATGTATACTTTGGTATGATTTGTCGGCTGATTTTTGTTGTATAGTCTTTCATGGCAGCGTGGTAGCTCGTACCTTATATATAGTTTCCTACCTGTCTGGTTATTCTATGTTAAGTATGTTCATGCCAGTATCTTTCATTGTTAGTTGTTCATGATCCATATCTACCATTTATATTGATGTTGTCGGCCCTTAAAGATAATAAGGAAGGTTAGATAAAATATATGTTGATGTTCGGCAAGTATGGCCCGGGTGCTAGTCATGACCCTCCAGTTTGGGTCGTGACAAACTTGGTATAATAGCAAGTCAGTCCTAGGGCTTGTTTATGAGCCGTGTCTAGTAGAGTCTTGATTATGGATGTGTAGCGCACCACATTTATAATCAGGAGGCTACATGACATCTAGGGTTGTTACCTTCTTCCCGAATCTAGATCGTGCATAGATTTGAGTCGTAAGTGTTCATCTCTAATATTCACCTTGTTTTCTTTCAGCAATGCCTTCGACTAGGAAGCAAACGATTAGCAGACGACTCGATACAGCTGCGGGAGAGGGTACCAGTCACTTGCCCCAAGCCAGAGCAGGCAAAAGTGAGGCTCAGAGTGAGATGCCGTCTCATAACTCATCTACTCCATCTCCTCTAAAGGATATTAGGAGGCACCCAACACCTCCAGTTCCTCCGTCTAGCACTAGAGACCAGGATATACGGAGTGCTTTGCAGTTGTTGACTAGCTTGGTAGCTGCTCAGGCTCAGAGGTAGAATACATGTGCTGCTGATAACCCAATTAGTACGAGAGTTCGTGATTTTATTAATTTAGACCCTCCATTGTTTACCAGATTAGACCCCAAGGAGGACCCACAGACTTTTATTGACCAGGTTCATCGTACACTACATGTTATGCATGCTAGTGATACGAATGCAGTAGAGTTGGCTTCTTATTGGTTACGGAATTTAGCGGGTTCTGGTATGATAGTTAGGAGAGATCCAGGGGTCCGAACGCTCCTCCAACTGTGTGAAAGGAATTTTTTGAGGCCTTTCTTTCTTACTACTTGCCAATTGAGATACGACGAGCTAGATCTGATAAGTTCTTGAACCTTCGACAAGGTAATATGAGTGTGCAAGAGTATAGTATGCAGTTTGATTCTTTAGCAAGGTATGCTCCCCATATGGTGGCCGAAGATGATCTTGAGCAGGTGAAAAAGGATTGTAATTGGGGGATAAGAATGTCATGATTCCTTCTCTCGAAGAGGACATCACCACTCATGTGGAAGGGTACTTAAGCATGTACACTTATCCTTTCACATTAGATCCCGTAGATCCAGCACTAGGTCCCATGGACCCAGTCATTCTTGATTTCTAAAACCAATATCGGGTGACGCTTGGCCAGATCTACCCTTCTTTCTAGCGTATCGTCAATTTGATTAGGTATTTCTCAGGCAAGGTCGATGGGATGCCTTTTACCCTCGACCACCTGATTAGGCTATACAGCCCCTACCTTTATCAAGACGGTCTGATAAAGCTCCAATGTTGATCCTCGAAGTCGCCATTCTCTAGCATCGATGAGGTTAAGGATCAAGGATGGATGATCCGTTTGTCCGAATCAAGACTTCCGATTTAATTCCCGCTGAAAGGATGCCATTTCCTGAGGAATGGAACATGAAACGTAAGTACAAATTTATCGACAATGATTACTATTTTGCTTTCCCTATTCTTCCTCGATCTAATTTCCTTTTGATGATGCAGTTGCCCCTTGGTTTCCTGGTGTGATTCTGGACCTCGCAGATTGGGTCCGACAATTGGCCTCCACTTCTTCACACACGGAACGCTATTGGCAAGATTTGGCCAAGGGTCGGTGGGAAGCTAAAAACCATGGTGAATTCCCTTGTTCATATGTCGATGTTTTCCTATAAAATACCTACTTTCTCCTTATGTAGGCCTCGGAGATACTGTTGCTATTGAGGCAGCCCCCGCCCAATGAGGAGGAAATCCCAAAGCCAACCAAGGAGAAGAAAAGGAAAAGGGCTTCGCCAGCAAGTTCCTAGAAGCCCAATAAAAATAAGGCTCAAAAGCCTAGGGCCAATCCTGTGGCCCTATCTGTAGAAGTGGTCCAACACCTTCGAAATGACGAGGAAGAGGGAGGAGATGACGACTGCCTGTTGGTAGCTCGGAAGAGAGAAAGCACTAGGGCTTCGAAATCCACCGAACCGGTGATGGCCGATGCGGTTCATTCTTGAGATGAAGAAATCTTAGAGGGGAGCTCGTGCAAAGTCCCCAAGCCATCGGGTGGTAAAAGTGCATCTCATCTCGGAGGACATTTGGCGGGTGATCCCGAGGAGCCTAATTTTGAGGCCCTCCAAAGAGAAGATAATGTCCCAAGTGAATCACTTGGGATAATTAACAAAGACGAATTGCCACTTGGTCCCGTGTTCTCTGAAGGGCAGTTCCAAGATGCCCAGGCCATGAAGACTCCCGACGTATGGGCGACCCACGAAGGGACTAATATTTTTCGGGAATGCCTTTTAGGGGTCGAAGATGGTGCCAACCCGGATGCCTCGTTTAGTTTGACAAGGCTCAGCGTCTTCTTAAGCAAGTAAGTTTCTGCTTCCATAATTATGCTCGTGATTTATTCTCGTTTTTTGAGTTTGATCTCTTTTCTTTGTGTGAAGGCTATAACGCTCCATCGACATGCATTCTCCAAGTCTCGAGCCGAGCTCACCCGATGCGAGGCTGAAATCAAGAAGCTCGTGGAAGAGAGGGACAACCTCAAACTCCTCTATGTTCAAAAAGAGGAGGAGATTAGGGGCCTTAGATCCGACTTTACGAAGGCTCAGTCAGAACAGATCGAGCTTATTGAGCAGGTAATGTAGATTTTTGGGAATTTGTTATGTGCTTATCTGACTTAGCGACTAACACTTTGACTTTGCAGGCCCAGCTGAAGGGCGAGCTGGTGGAGCATCTTCGAGAAGTGCTCAAGGTGAAAGAGGCCGAGACCCTGGGATGGAAGCAACATATGGATCGTCTCGCCTCAGAGAAAGACATGCTTCGGTCCCAGCTGACTTTGATCGAACGCCAGCTTCAAAATGTAAAGGGGGAAAGCTTGGCCCATAGCCGAAAAATTGAGGAGCTCGAAGCTAAATCAGTCGCCGAGCTTGCGAAGGCCAAATTTGAGGTAGAGGCATTTGTGGCCTCTTATAGAGCTGATACCGAGGCTGCTAACATTTGGGCATAGGAAATCTACACTGCTGCTGAAGTCAAATTGTCAAGTGCTCTCGATCATGCCAGACGACAATCCCGTAGAGAAACTCTCGAGGAAGTGCACGCTCGTAGCTTTGATCTCTCAGCTGATATTAAAAAGGCAAAAACTTTGGAGGACGAGGCTGCCGCTTTACTCTGCGATGATAAAGATTCTTCTAGTGGTTTCGAGATCAGAGGAGATGAGGTTGAAGTCCCCGAGGAGGAGGTTCCCGAAGATGCAACTCTCAAGGATGCGGATCCTGAGGATGCGGCTCTTAAAGTAGATTAGGCTCTTAGGATTTTGTTTTTTTTGTTTTTGTGTAAGGCCCCTTGTGGCCACTATAAATACCCTTTATGAATATAAGGAATTTATTTTCTTTATGCTCCATCTCCGATTTATTTCAAATTCTGCTTCGTCTTTGTTTTGTGAAATGTTTTGATGTTATAACTTCAATGATCGAGTGAGCACTGGCTTGGACTTAGAGTAGAACAAACCCTTAGGGTTTTTAGTAATCAATGGGCGATCCTTGAACTTATAATGGAATACCTCTTAAGGGTTTTTGATGAATCCTCAAGTTAAGCTTAAGTCAATTTGATGCGAGATCGGGATGATGGGACCCTTAGGTCGGAGTCGAGTGAGAACAAGGTCTCGAACTCTAAATATTTTGACCCTTAGGTTCTATTAGGTTGGGCCGATATGGCCTTTGAAAGATGGCTATTATTTCTCCTTTTCGTCTTAGAAGACTTAGTAAAAATTTATTTATGCCTTGGCATGCATTTTTTACCCATTGGATTTTTTGAGAGTTCGGTGTCAATCAGAACCCTTTGTTTTTAGTTCCATAGTATAAGTTTGTATTTCAGTAATTCGATACCTCGTAAGGTTTTTCGAGGGCTGATTTTATCGAAGCCCTTTGATTATTTTGCCGAGGGTAGCCTTTATTTAATCGGTTTTCTAAGAATTCGAAGACCTATTTTTATTGCAGAATTCAGACGTATCCAAGCCACGTTATTTTGGCCGTAGCCTTCAGGTGTGTCTCTTGGAATTGTTTCCCGATAACCTTTTGAACTTGTCCGAAAGGTTAGTCCCCGAGTATGATGGCTTTGGCCTTTGCGTCGAGGGATGCCTCTTTGAGGTCTTTAAATTCGAGTCTAGATACTCGAATGTGTTGACTGTTGATGACAACCCCCGAATTCGAGGTGTATTTGGTATTTGCGTTTTGGCCCTTGAGCCATTTTTTGCGGAATCATAATTATGGAGCTCGTATAGTAGCAAATATCTTTGGGACACAAAGTGTTTGATATAGAGAGAATGCTTCTTTGAATAATTCATACATGCGTACATGTTTTGCCATCAGGGCTCGACTATTCTACACGGACACGGTTCATCTGACAGTTTGGCCCATTACAAAGTTTTCCTATCGAGGCCCTCTTTGGCGTGAAGTATATTTCTCGAAAATATAACCTTCGAGGGTGGTGCTCCCCCCAGTATTCGAGGTTGATAGAAAAGAATCCTTGGATAGTGTTGAATTCTCCCTAGATAGAACATAGTTGTTGCCTCATTAAAAACCTTGTCGGAAAAAACCCATCTGGGTAAAACCCAATCCACGGGAAAAAGAGTACAACACATGCTTTAAAACCTAAGGTCTTCGTGTAGAAGGGTATTCTCGATGTCTTCGATCGAACATCTGCAATGAGTTATTCTTAAATACAAATGGAGAAAAGGAGAAGGTCATACTTTAGCAGTAATACCATTTGAGTAGTGATACATTCCAATTATTTGGAAACTGTTCACCTTCCATCGTGCCAAGATTATAAGATCCTTTACCGATAACTCTGACGACTCGGTACGGTCCTTCCCAATTCGGGCCTAGTTTTCCTTCATTCTGGGCTTGAGTATTGAGGGTGACTTTCCGTAGAACTAAGTCCCCGATTCTGAAGTGTCGAAGGTAGGTCCTATTATAATATCTCTCGATTCTTTGCTTCTGCACGGCCATCCGAACAAGTGCAACTTCTCGTTTTTCATCTAATAGCTCGAGGCTAGTATTCATAGCCTCGTGATTTTATTCCTCCAATGCATGTTGAAATCTGGTGCTGGGTTCCCCGACTGGAATCAAAGCCTCGGAGCCATATACTAAGGAGAACGGGGTTGTCCCCATGCTGGAATTTGATGTTGTTCGATATGCTCATAGAACCTCGGGCAAAACTTCTCTCCATTTCCCTTTAGCGTCATTCAACCTATTCTTCAAGTTTTGAATGATAGTCTTGTTTATCGATACAGATTGTCCGTTCTCGCGTGGGTGGTACGGTGTTGATAAGATCCTCTTTATTTTGTGTGCTTCGAGGAACTCCATTATCTTATTGCCGATGAATTGCTTCCCGTTGTCACATACGATTTTGTCAGGTATCCCGAATCGACACAAGATGTGGTCCTAGATGAAGTCAATAACTTCTTTTTCTCTGACCTTCTCGAAGGCCTGTGCTTCCACCCATTTAGAAAAGTAGTCAGTCATAAACAAAATGAATTTAGCTTTACCTGGGGCTATTGGTGGGGGGCCGATGATGTCCATTCCTATTTCATTAAAGGCCACGGGGATAGTACTGAGTGAAGTTGCTCTCTGGGCTAATGAATCATTGGTGCAAACCTTTGACATTTATCACATTTTCAAACAAACTCCTTAGTGTCTTTTTCCATGCTATCCTAGTAATACCCTGCTCTAATAATTTTTACGAATCAAAGACTCGGTGCCGGAATGATTCCCACAAGTGCCTTTATGGATTTCTCATAGAACATAATCGGTGTCCCTCGGTTCTAAACATATCGCCAGTGGTCCATCGAACGTCCTCCTATATAATGTTCCATCTTCATCCAATGTGAACCTAGCAGCCTTGGTTCGTAGAGCCCTCGACTCTTTATGATCCGATGGGAGGTTTCCATTTTTCAAATCTTCGATATACTTATTCCTCCAATCCTAAGACAAACTTGTAGAATTTATCTCGGCATGACCCTCTTTGACCATAGATCTCGATAATTAGACGACAGTACCCGGGATAATATCATCTTCTTCAACTGATGACCCCAAGTTAGCAAGTGCATCGGCTTCACTATTTTGTTCTCGAGGCACATGATCTAGAGTCCACTCCTTGAAGCGGTGCAAGGTTACCTGTAGCTTCTCCAAATATCTTTGCATCCTATCCTCTCGAACTTCAAAGCTTTTGTTTACATGGTTCACCACCAACAGAGAATCGCACTTGGCTTCAACGACTTCGGCCACCAAGCTTTTAGCTAGCTCGAGATCTGCAATCATGGCCTCATACTTTTGCCTCATTATTAATCAACCTAGAAGTTTTAATAGATTGTCTAATATGCTACTTGTAGGTGGCTTCAAAACGATGCCAAGCCCAGACCCTTTCACATTCGAGGCACCGTCCGTGAAGAGGGTCCATACCCCCGATGATGTACCCAATTTTAGCAGAAGTTCTTTCTCCACTTTGGGTATGAGGGTTGGTGTAAAATAGGCCATAAAGTCAGCTAATATTTGAGACATGATGGCCATTCAGGGTTGATATTCGATATCGTACCCGCCAAGTTAGACGGCCCATTTGGCCAATCAGCTCGATAACTCGGGCTTGTGCAAAACGTTTGGGAGAGGATAAGTGGTAACACATATATGGAGTGACACTGGAAATATAGCTTTAATTTTCTAAATGCGCTTATTAGTGCAAGTGACAACTTCTCTAAGTGTGGATACCTAGTTTCAGCATCTCCTAAGGTTCGACTTATGTAATAAACAGGAAATTGCGTACCTCGCTCTTCTCGAACTAGTATGCCACTTACCGCTATTTCAGACACATCTAAGTATAAGTATAGCTTCTCATCTGCCTTTGGAGTGTGGAGTAGAGGTGGGCTCGATAAGTGTCCCTTCAATTCTTCCAATGCTTGTTGACATTCCGGGGTCCATGCGAAATTATTTTTTCTTTTTTAGTAAGGAGAAGAACCCGTGGCTTTGATTTGAAGACCTCGAAATGAATTCGCCCAAGGCAGCTATCCGTCCAGTTAGCCTTTGTACAGCTTTCACACTGTGTACGATTGTATTTCCTCAAGATTTCGAATGTTTCCTGCAAATGAATTAAATGGTCCTCTGCGCGCAAGGACTTAACTAACATATCATGAATGTAAACTTCCATTTATTTGCCTACATGTTCCTCGAACATTTTGTTAACTAGGCGTTGGTATGTAGCTCCAGCATTTTTTAGCCCGAAGGGCATTACATAGTAACAATAAGTTCCAAACTTAGTGAAAATGAGGTCTTCTCCTGGTCCCCCAGGTTCATCTAAATCTGATTGTACTCGGAGTAGGCATCGAGAAAGGTAAGGATCTTGTAGCCAGTCGTGGCATCGATCATGAGATCGATGTTAGGCAGTGGAAAAGAGTCTTTAGGGAATGCCTGTTTAACTCCTTGTAATCTATGCACATTCTAAGTTTTTTCTCTTTTTTAGGGACTACTACTATATTTGCTAACCACTCGGGGTATTTTACCTTCCGAATGGATCCTATATTGAGAAGTTTAGTTACATCATCCTTTATGAATGCATGCTTCAACTCGGACTGGGGCCTTCTCTTTTGCTTCACCGGTTTGAATTTGGGGTTGAGGCTTAGCCGGTGAGTTGTTATTTCTGGTGGGATCCCTATCATGTCTAAGTGGGACCAAGCAAAACAATCCATGTTATCGTTAAGAAAATGAATGAGTTTATTCCTGAGTTTGGGGTTTAACCCCGTTCCTAGGTATACCTTTCTCTCAGGAATATACTCGATCAGTATGACCTGTTCCAGCTCCTCAACCGTTGACTTGGTTGCATTTGACTCTTCGGGAAAAACAAAAGTTCGAGGAGAAAGGAAATCCTCTTCCTCTTCTTCGATCTCCAATTCGGTCAAGGCTTGGGACGATGATTACTATTTGGGCGTTTGCTTATCTTTGGTGCTCGCTTTTTCTGAGGTCGAAGGTGCTGGTATCGGTGTCACCTCATCGACAACAAATATTTCCTTTGCAGTGTGTTGTTTCCTGTAAACTGTTTTCACACCATCCACTATTGGGAATTTCATCATCTGGTAAAGGGTCGACGGTACTGCCCTCATGTTGTGGATCCATGGCCTCCCGAGTAGTGTGTTATATCTCATGTCGCCTTCAATGACATGGAATTTTGTATCTTGGATGGTCCCAACCACGTTCACTGGTAGGATTATCTCCCTCTTTGTTGTTTCACTTGCCATGTTGAAGTCGTTTAGGACCCGAGATACAGGTATAATTTGATCATGTAGGCCAAGCTGCTCTACGACCTTGAT